ACACCGCATCTTACTCCACCATTTATACCGTAATTTCTCTTTCTCTGTATTGTTGGAACTGAAATTGCGGCGTAATTTCCACCCTCCCCTTCCCTTCTTCTTCTCCTGGCTCTTTTCCGCCGCCGTTGCCTCGCCGCCCTTCTTTTTGTTTTCCCTCTTTTTGTTAATCCACGACGATATAGACAGGATACACTTTATTTCCCCGACAAAAGGTTTCAATTAAGGAATCCAACGCGGTCGCTGAAAAATGCCTAGCCATCTTTGTTCAAATCCGTGTGACTTCGCGAACGTGTATTACACGACTGCGCTCACCGTTGCACACCGAGAATGCTACAGTACAGTCACTTAAAATCACCGTATAACGCGCTGAGAGGAACATTTTTATCCATAATACATTGTGAATGCATGTACCAGATAATATGAAATTAGCAACAAATACTGTGGTACATTCTTGCGTGCACAATATAGGATGTAGGCGATGCAAAAATAAAACGAACCACACGCGAAAAATATTTTTGCATACGTGAGTTTGTTCTCGAAATCATCTTCCGTATACGAAAGAATACATTAAAATGTATATTTTATTTTATACGTATTATCAATTTCAGAAAAATGTTGCACCGTGCTATACGGTTTTAAGCGACACTCGTATACATATTCGAGCACGCGTTACACGCCGTGACTACACGTGTACCACGGCCCCGCACAGTACAGATATAGGCCAATGGCGTGGAGTGCGAGGGTGACACGTTATTCGATTACCGTAGCCGTCGCAATAACTCTCTTCTCCGCGGCAAACGCCAAGCGGAATGACGACCGGCCCAAGAACGCCGCGTCGACTCGCGTCGCTGGAAAGTTTGAAACGCGCCACGCAACGATTTATGTATTTGCCGAGCGAAACAGCGAATAAGCAGCCAACTACGTGCACGATACGCGAAAAGGGTTGCCGGCGATGGAGATAAAAGGCCACGGATTTCAATCTCTCGCGATCGTACGTCGAAGGGAAAAGAACGTACCGGCGTACAGCGGTATGCGCGCGGACAGACGCGCGTGATTTAATGGCCAAGTTATTGCCAATACCGAATACGGTGTGTATAGTGTACGAAACCGGATCGTTATATCGAATAAAAGCGGCTTTCGCGATAATTAACGAAATTGAAATTGCCAGGGACATTCCCACGCCAGTGGGGGATCAAGCACCAGGTATATAACCATTGGCGTATCGAGCATTTTTGCCAGAGGCGATTTAGGCCCCCTAGATTTATCGATAGTTTCAATAGATGACAATAGGCCCAATGAAAATTGCCGATAAGGAAATCGAGAATATTTGGATATTTCAGAAATTCGGGAGATTCGTGAATGGGAAAAATTTCTCCTTATAAATTTAGAAATCGAAGGTTTGGAAATTGGAGGATTTAGAAGTTTAAACTTCCGAAAAATAAAGATGCAAAGCGACTCTATTATGTGATACGGTCCACATGTCAGCTACCCGATCTATATTTTAGGGTCCCAACCAGTTCTACAGCTGGTTACGCCAATGCATATGTCGGGTTCGTAAAGCGGGTAATGCTTGGATCAGGCTCATTAATTAATCCTCCTTCGTGGAAAAAAAGGAAGAAGAGGGACGCGGTGATCGAGCAGAGATGGAAGAAAGGAAAGAAAGAAGCGAGAAGGGAATAGCAGAGGAGATTGGGGAAGAAGCAGGACACTGCAGGGTCTTTCTCGGGTTACCTGGCCGAGGCCGGATCCATAAATACACTTCGCCGTGTTAATTCCGTGTGCCGAGCAAGGGGCCGAGCTACTACCGGTATTAACGAAGTCCAAGACGCGCGGTTACACCGGGCCGGAACGGTGGGGATAATTTCGAGCCAACCCATTCCGAGTCGGGAGCAATTTGTCTCCGGGCGTTGGATAAAACGTCGACGGCGGTGTGTTATTTGTAATTTGGATAACGGTACGCCGCTGCCAGAACCGCGGAAGACATTTGTCAGCCGTGAGTGCGCCTGCTAGATTCGTTTCGAGGCGAACCAAGCCGCAACGCGATACTTTGCCAAAACGTCGAGCATCGTCCTTTATCGAACCTCTTTTTGCTCCTTTTCTTCCTCGAGCTCGTATTTCTTTTTTTCAGTTAGCCGTCGCGATCGTCGTTAAATGGCCCTCTGAGCTTTAAATATTCAAGAAATTTCAAAAATATCACGAATTATTTTGGAACACGTATAGGTACTTTTTGTAGGTACAACTATCGAACGCCATCGGAGAAAATTAACCCAATTCTGCTGGTCGATCAGGATCAAATTGTCCGTCTCGAGGTACACAGCGAGTTTTTTCCTGCTAGTCAAATATTGGCCCACTGTTCTTTCTCGGGAACGATCGTTGGGTTAGCAGAAGATCTTAGAAGGGCCATCGGGGTTTAGTTAGAAATTCGATCCTTAGGTATTATACTCGGCTCGAACAACACGCAGGAGGGAAGAAAGGAACGGTTCCACGAACCTTGCCTTTTGGATACAAAAAGGTTATGCACGGTATCCTGTGTCGAGTTAATGGCTGTAATTTCATTCGTTCATTTTCGATTTGTTCAGGTCGACAGGCAACACGGGGAGAGGAATAAAACCGAAGGTAGTGGAACGATTCGATCATTCAATTTCCTGTTGTAATTAATAAATATGATTAATATTTTTTGTCTCACCGGTACCGGCTTGATCGATGATCGCTCGATATACAAATCGCACATTATTAGCGGCCGTTCGACGTTCAGTTATTTCGACGATCCGTTTGAAACGGAACCTCTTTCAAATATATTAATGGGCAGCCCGCAGCGCTCGATCATCTTCATGGATCCTCCTCGAGCCGACGCGGCGTGGCGCGGAACGGAGCGGCGAGACGTACGCTCGTACTCTCGTTCGAGCAGAAGTCAAGCTCTTAGATCTTTCCCTCTCGTGCGCCGGATGAAGTGGACGTTGGGTCCAGAAGAGGCGGTTGCCCAATGCACTCAGCCAATTATAATTAATTAAACCGGCTCCTCGACATTTCCCCGGCGATTTTCCGAGCAGGAAATTCTCGCGCACAATGCCGCTACAAATAGAAGAGTCGCTATACAATGCCAGCCAAAGTAATATTTACATTGCGGCGAATGACTTCTTCCCCGAAGATACAATGGTCGCGGTTATACAGTCACAGAACGGCCGTGCGAATTGATGCACCTGTTTCTATCTGTGCCAGCAACTTCTCCTATTAAACGATATAATCGTACAAACGTATTTAAGCGGCATAATAGCGGGTATCGTTCTTTCGAACGACAATACCGCGCGTTCCCACGGATACCGTATACTTTGCCGTCTCTATGGAACTTGCAAAGAAATAAACAGAAATTTCTTGCTCCTCGTTGCGTTCGATTAAGTGTTATGAACATAATTCACGCGTTTAACGATTGAAATGGTATAAACATCGAGATCGAAGAATCGAGCACAGTTTTGCTACGTGACATCTATATGTGTTATGGGCCGTTCAACGATTTCCTTTTCGCACGGACTTTCACGATACAGTTGTCCTTTCGATAAACGAATACATCATTGAACGTTTCAAATTTTGTATTCTGGAAAATTAGAAATTTTCAAATTTACGAATGCGAGAAATTTAGATTTTGCAATCTGCCTGCTTGACAGGAATTCTAGTTTTATCAAACGTTCGATAATTTTCTCGTCATTAACGATAATTCGATGCATGCATCAATAACATCGTTAAGTTGTCATTAAAAAAGATCAATGAGCGACACAGACGGAGACGCGCAATTGTATCATTTGAATGTAATTAGTGTCGGCTGGAATTAGGTTAAACTAGTAGTTTCAACAAGTTTGACCGTGAACGACGAAACCTAATCTAACTGAATTTTACCTAGTAACCTAATTTAACCTAAAAATCTAACCTACATTAGAGCGGCGAGACGTACGCTCGTACTCTCGTTCGAGCAGAAGTCAAGCTCTTAGATCTTTCCCTCTCGTGCGCCGGATGAAGTGGACGTTGGGTCCAGAAGAGGCGGTTGCCCAATGCACTCAGCCAATTATAATTAATTAAACCGGCTCCTCGACATTTCCCCGGCGATTTTCCGAGCAGGAAATTCTCGCGCACAATGCCGCTACAAATAGAAGAGTCGCTATACAATGCCAGCCAAAGTAATATTTACATTGCGGCGAATGACTTCTTCCCCGAAGATACAATGGTCGCGGTTATACAGTCACAGAACGGCCGTGCGAATTGATGCACCTGTTTCTATCTGTGCCAGCAACTTCTCCTATTAAACGATATAATCGTACAAACGTATTTAAGCGGCATAATAGCGGGTATCGTTCTTTCGAACGACAATACCGCGCGTTCCCACGGATACCGTATACTTTGCCGTCTCTATGGAACTTGCAAAGAAATAAACAGAAATTTCTTGCTCCTCGTTGCGTTCGATTAAGTGTTATGAACATAATTCACGCGTTTAACGATTGAAATGGTATAAACATCGAGATCGAAGAATCGAGCACAGTTTTGCTACGTGACATCTATATGTGTTATGGGCCGTTCAACGATTTCCTTTTCGCACGGACTTTCACGATACAGTTGTCCTTTCGATAAACGAATACATCATTGAACGTTTCAAATTTTGTATTCTGGAAAATTAGAAATTTTCAAATTTACGAATGCGAGAAATTTAGATTTTGCAATCTGCCTGCTTGACAGGAATTCTAGTTTTATCAAACGTTCGATAATTTTCTCGTCATTAACGATAATTCGATGCATGCATCAATAACATCGTTAAGTTGTCATTAAAAAAGATCAATGAGCGACACAGACGGAGACGCGCAATTGTATCATTTGAATGTAATTAGTGTCGGCTGGAATTAGGTTAAACTAGTAGTTTCAACAAGTTTGACCGTGAACGACGAAACCTAATCTAACTGAATTTTACCTAGTAACCTAATTTAACCTAAAAATCTAACCTACATTAACCGAATTTTCTTGAAACTTAGATCCAAGTTTGCATACAATAAATAAATATGAATCATAAGGTTAACTAGCTCTATTCTTAACGATTTCTGAACAATATCGTCCACACATTGTTAAGAAATAAAATATCGATAATCGATAATAGTGCTTCTCCGCCGGGGGCCATATAACGAAACTACAGCGTACTCTCAGCTGTGCGTTCGCGATTCAATTATCCGGCTTAATGGCGTTACGCACAAGCGCGTTCGATCGATCGATCGTATTTAGCAGGGAAAGGATTAAAGAAATAAGCTAGTTCGCACGGAGTTTGCGATACAGCTTCGCATAGTCGTGGAGTCGGGTCGTATTCTTGATGCGGTTACGGAGGTCGCCGCGGGTTGAGAGCAACGGCGTGGTTAGCCGCGACGACCGCAGCGACTGGTTCTGCCGCCTGGCGGCGCGGTGCGGTGCGGCGCTGTGTCTCCCTCACCCTCGTTATTCGCAGCGTATGCTCATCTCGCTCTCTTTCTCGCTCTCTCCGCCACTTTCCACCTTTATCTCTGTCTTTCTTCACCCTTTCTATACCTCGATCTCTCCTCTTTACTCGCCGTAGCGGAGCGTCCACGGTCGTTCGGTGAGCACCGAGCCGCACCGAGGACACGTATCCACCGAGCGAACACGGGCGAACACGCAAACCGGCTGCGGCAGGCGGCAGGCAAGGCGGCTCCGCATAAACCGCAGCCGACCAAGCGCGACCGACAGCTTCGCCAACACTCCACGGCACTGCCTTATATTCCTTCTTCGCCCCGTGGAACATGACAAAGAGCGTTTCAACTAGACCAGGAACGCGTTAAAACAGGATCGAGAAAGGAAGGAAAACGGTGAAACGAGATGCCGGCGGAGGGGAACCAGAAGAAGAAGAGAGAGCAGAAGTCGTCGAATAAGGGGGATGCTCGTCGTCTCGGTGCATCGCGCAAAAAGTTGATGCCTGGCGATAAATAGAACTACCATCGCATCGTCACTACGGCACGTCACGTATTTATTTCATTAGGAGGGTCCTGCACTACCGCCTCCGGTTGCACGAGCAAAAGGAGGCGAGGCAGCTGGAGGAGAGGGGGGGTAGAAATTGTGCGGAGTGCTTTTCTGTACATATGTATGTATATATCCCATCCCGCGTTCCGCGAAGCATGACAATGGGGTTTTCTAATCCTCCTTTGGATTAAGGGTCGAAAGCAGGGCTCGGTGCACGGTGGCGGCAGGGCGAGAGAGCTCCAGGTAATGGGATCGACGTTTCGTTATGTTACTTTTCCATTCTCATCCTCGGCCTCTATCCTCGACGTCTCTCCCTCTCGTGGCTGGCCCGCACACAACCGCACGACTCCGCGCCAGCCTTTGGTGTCTCGGTTCGTAGGATCCATCCCACAGAGCCCTCCTCCTTCCTACCCGGTCCGTGTTTTTCCTCATGTAGCCCCCTATTTTTCATGTTTCGCTGCGGCTTCGCGTAGCACCTTCATTCCGTATAGGAACATCCGTGGGGCTTGAGCAACACTCCGCGCGGATCTAACGTACGGCCGTCAACTCAAAAAGTTTCGTTCCCATTGGCCGAGGTCGTGCTTTCATTCGACTCTTTGCGGCGGTCTGGCGCCGTGGTGGGAGCGAACGTCGCGCGATTGGCCAAGTAGCGTGCAGACGCGCGCCGATTGGTCGAGGCGTGCAGCGACAGTCCGCGCGGATCGGTTCCTTTACGAAGCGAGCGGACGATAGCGGCAATCAAGTAGGAAACTGCTTGGGACTGTGTGCTGCGCCGATATTCACATAGGGGCACCCCCTTGCCACACGCATAGGATCGTACTTGCTACACACGGATACTCGGATACAATCGCGTCGGATGCACGTGTGTATACGTATTCCATCCACAGTTCGCGCTCCGTCTCGCTCGCTCTCGCTTTATAGAGGCACGTTGTAGGGGTTGGGAAAACGGGTGGAGGCGCCATATTTGTGGTGGTGTGGGAAGCGAGGGAAATCACGAGTGGCGAGAGAGGCAGCCAGTCGGCGGGCAGTTGGGCGAGTACGGGGAAAGAGGAGAGAAAGAGCGAGAGAGAGAGAGAGAGAGAGTTTATACGGACATCCGTGTCAGCCCGGTGACGGCCATTTTGCGAAAAACTTTCGATTTGTTTGCACACGCTGAGCGAACCGAGAGAAGCAACTAATACCTACGCGTATGCATGGCACGCCGTGTTCCGTGCTCTGTCCTCTCGTTTATTCGACCGTATCTGCGGGACCGAAAACTTTCGAGGCTTCTAGTCTTCGTGCTTCAACTTGCAAAAATCGCTGGACCTATACACCCGTAGAATACACGATTCGCGTTACGATATCTCTCAGGGGTAACGATCATTCGCTCTCCCTCTCTCTCTCTCTCTCTCTCCCCCTCTCTCTTCCTCCTCGAATCGTATCCCCGTTAAAACGAAGCACGAGCGAAGAGATAATGGGACGGCACGAAAAAAGTATTCCAAGAACCGTTTGTTCCCTTAGTCATTGGTCGTAGCACGAGATTGATACTTTGAATTGTCTAGATTCCAAAGGTAGTTGAATGTAGTCAGCAAATATTGTTTGCACACACTCGTTAACCGTCGTATCAGCGATAATAGCTTCGAACGAATGGAAAAAAACGAGCGTAATCAACGTTGATAAATGAGCGCGTTGAGTCATCTTCCATTAATACAGAAACACAGTCGATCGCTGGCATTAAATTTCGCAACCGTCGATATATGTATAACGCGAGAACGAAAAAAAACCGACGGTGAAACAATTCACGGTACATAAAACGAACAAAGAAAAACAGACGAGTTGAGAGAATTAATAAACGTATCGTGTTGGTCGTGTACATAATAAAATCAATGTATGTATGTATGTATGTATGTATATCGTGTTCGATTGCGCTACGCTTAACGCGGGTATAACCGTACGTTTCAAACCAGATTAATTACGGTCAACTAAAATGGCCCTAAAGGCAAGCCCGGGTCACTTGTCGCGTCAACGGCGTGCCGAAATCATGATGGACGTATCCGCGGCTTCATCGTTGGTCGATAAAGCAGATCGAGTATACGATAGGACGACAGGTGCTATGAAATAGAGAGTGGCAGAAAGCAAAAAGCGAGAAAGAGCGTGGTATACGCGCGCGAGAGAGAGGAGTCGAGCAGAAGAAGGATACGATAGAAAGAGAGGGAGGGACGTACCGACGTTTTAACGAGCCGTGATTTTCGTGCTCGCCTTTTCGAGACCCTTACGTAACGCGACTTAATTGTGAAGGAGCTATCGCGCCGGTTAATACGAGCGTCGAGAACGAGGAGAGACATTCGAGGGGGTGCTTGGCGGGTTTAACTGTGGAGTAACGGCCTGTCAGGGTGGGGGAAGGGAAAGATGGCTCATGGAGGGGATACCATCCCCACCACTCGCTCGTCCATCAGTCGCTCCGAGGCCGTTGAGCGGAGAAGTTTGTTCTTGTTGCTCGTCTGTGCGTTTCGTGTTTCGTATACACTTTCGAGTCGCGTTCCGACAGTTTCTTTGGATCGGTGTTTTGGTTTCGATCTTCGGACGCGTCCCCTTTGACGCGAACGAATTTTCCTGGGTTACGTACGGACGGAAAGACGCGTGCGTGCTAGTGTTGGTAAACTTAACCTCAAAGTGGCGGCGGGCCATCGTTCAGCTTCGTAAACAAGTGCAGTGTTTCTCTTGTGTGATGGTGTTTCGATCTTGAGCGAGTGGAGCTACGAAAAGGAGCCGAGAGGAGAGTCGTTCGTTGGTTAAATGCAAAGAAAACAACGCTTTCACGGGAAACGCTTGACGCGGCTGTCGCTCTGTTTTACCGACCGTGTATAAAGGGCACGCCACGCTCTTCGCGTCCGAACGGGATCCTCCGTGGCGTCGGTGTCAGAATTCTAACCTCGATGAACGGTCGAAATACGTGGTGACACGAGTTGTCTTCGCGACACGGTGACAATATTTTCGGCGAGGATGCGGTAGTGGCGAACGACGCAGCCACCGATGGATCATCTTCGTGCATCGGAGGCGGGGACCTTCTCGATCGAATCGCGTCGACAGAACCGCGGAAAGGATCGCTTGTCCTCGTAGCCCGCGCGGGCGTTTTGAATCGGTGTTTTTGTTTATCGTCGTTCGTTGTTATTGTTGTTATTTGTTACCGTTGGTGTGCCGCGTGACATGAATCGTATCGCTTACGTGATTTGAGAACACGCACGACAGTGTTTCGATTTTCTACCAGTTTGAAACCAGAGAGGAAATATGTATCCCAGTGCTGGAATCAACGCCGCTGCTGTGGCTGCCGCAGCTGCTAGGCATCCGGTAAGCGAAACTGTTTATTTGCACCTCACTTTTCATTTTTTATTTTTATTCCTCGAATTCGAAATTCTCCAAAACGATATTTCTTTTATCGTCGCGTTATTATCGCCCAACGTCGATCCCTCATTTTCTAAATATCTATCATCATTTTCGTCGGTCAATTTTCGAGGCATTACGCCTTTGTTACGCGGTTTGAGCGATTTGTAGCTCGTAAGGCGATCCCGGGCTTGGCTAGAGCAAAGTTGGCTCGAGTTTCACGCGTATAAGAGCGGTCGCGTACCCGCGCGATTCCGATCACGTTCAGCGGCGTAGAAACCGGTGTAACGCCTTTCGATCGTCGATCGGATTACCTGGCCGTGCAATTTTTCGAACGGCCAAACGATTACGGAGTAGGTAAGATCGCGCGGCGTTACACCCTTGTCGAGGAAACGTGCGCGTCAAAACATTCCCCTGATCGAGATGGAAACGCGAACGCGATAATAATGCCGAACCGCGGTTTCTTCGTGCCTCTCGGTTTGCCGTTAATGCGGTCACGTGCGTCGGGCTGCACACATTTATCATGGTTCGCGCGTACAAGATCGCGCGTATATGTACCCGTTGGATACACGTGCCTTCTGGGACCGCGCGCATACGTACGTATGCGTATACATGTATCCTCCAGTGTAATATAGGCTTTCTTTAGCTACGCTAAGAGTAGGGACTGGAGACTCCCGCCATTTTGCTTTTCGATTTTCACACAAATTTATATAGTCCTAAAATATTGTAAGACATTTGCAATAGGTTATAAAATTTAGAATAGGGATGTATATTTAAACGATTACTATCGAAAATTAGTAAACATCTTATGGTCAGTGAAATTATGTCTATAGTCGTCTATAGTACACGAACAAATTTCTTGAGCGTATGTAGACACGAATGGTAATGACAGAGTTAATAAAATATAGTAATGAAAGACCGTAGAACGCAAGGTTGTACAATGCATGGTAATAGGGGCCTGCAACGCGTAGCGATAGAACGCGTTTACTTTATTACCACTATTTCTACTTATCGTATTTATCCAACGAACTTGTACATCTCCACGGTTAGCGCGTTTAAAATAAGATTTCAGGAAAGTGGAATTCAACACAGATGTAATATCTTTGTTCGGGAAGCAGCTGGGTATACGTAGAGCACGGTCGAGTGATTTCAAGATTTCGAGATAGCACGTCGCGGCAAAACGGTGTTGCAAACCCGTCACGAATTCGAGATTAGTCCAGATCCGTGTAAAAGGTATTCCATCGCGCCACGACGAGGGCTATTGATCCGTGAATCGAAGACGACGGGGCTAACACCGCGAGACAAAGTCTTCTCTCATCGCGTGTCCTCTCGGTCGGTGTTCGTGTCTGGCCTTTAATAGCCACTCGGATTAAAGCGTCTCGCTTGTTGTACATAACCGTAACGACGCTGCGAGATTGGCTCTAGTCGTGCGTATTCCGTTCCGGGCATAATTTCACGCCGCGTTTTATTCCGTTGAATCGTCGGCCGGTCGATGAACAGGATACCATGAACGGAGCGAGCACGCACAAGCGGAGAATGAAAAGAGCGCAACGGTCGGTTTTCTTTTTTCGAAACCGTGTCGAATGGACGTAATACGTTTATTCTAATGCCAGCTAGGAGCAACAGAGTGACTAGAGAGACGTTGATGAACGCGGTTAAAAACTGTAACGACGCGTGAGAACGTCGGGATTAATAGGTCGCGCGAGATATTTTCACGTTTAAGCCGACGTTGAAAACGTAACATTACATTATTCCCGTTGCCATTATATCTGCCCCGGCCCGATAATAACAATAATTAGAGAGGAAAGCAACAAAAAAAATCACCCATTACTTTGTATTATAACGGTGTGTTGGCGAGGGGAGCCCTCTTGGATAGAATAATGAAAGCTTCATCTGGCCCGTCCCTAATAACAGACGTTACACCGGATGCGGCCCGGCGATATTGTAGCACGTGGTGAGCAACGGGGCGAGAAACGCGCCGATGAGACGGAGGAAGCGAGAGGAAAAAAGAGAGTCGAGTCCCTTGAAAGGCGGTGACAATGTTGTGGAAAAAGAGGGTGACTGCGTCGAGTGCCGTGAAGAAGCGGCAGAAAGACTGCTAGAGAGAAGGGGTTATATCGGATCGTTTCAACGAACTTGTCGCTGTACTTACATACGTGTTGTGCGCCTGTCTCGACTTACACCACGAAGAAGCTGGGAAGATCGCGCTGGTGGCGAAACACCGGTGCGCGCATGGTATCAGGAAAACATGAACGTATGTAACATAACGTTCTGTAAACCGTGGCATGCGTTCACGTCGGGCCCTGATTCGACAAATATTGATACGTTTAATCGGCACGTTTGCATGGACGGCTCGTGTAAATGCAGCTCGTGCATGCACAGCTGAAAAAACTTTTGAAAATTCGACGACAGTCGTAACACACGTACGTGACGACGCCGAACCGGTTGTATTTTTCCCTTCGATGAATTTTACACGATGCATAACTGCGAGGGCCAAAAATCTGGGGTCTACGTAAAATTTTAGCTAAACTCTGGAACTCAGGAATACTCTAAGGTTACCAAATTTTTAGATTTAGAAGTTTAGAAATTTTGGAACTTGGGACATTGAATATTTGCGAAAATTACAAGATTTAACATGGAAATAGTATCTTCTTCTACTTTTTCCCTCGATTAAACAAAGTGTACGTCGCACCTCGGCACGTGGATACTTTGGGAGGCGCTTAATCATCAGTGATATTCGGCGGGTAAATCGAACGATTGTAAGATTTGTAGTGATTGAAAGCGACACGAAATGGTTTAATGCGTTTGCCCGAGAGGTATGCGAGGGGACAAGCGAGGCGAAGCGAATCGAGTCTGGCTGTCGGCACGGAAATATGGAATCACGGTGATATCTTGAGCGTCACGTCGTCCATTATGCTGATGCGCCCGGTAAATTTCACGCATTATACTCCCATTATACGTTTCCTGGCCGAGTGGAATCGCGATCTCGTGCTGCCGCTCGCTCGCGGTAATTACACGACTGGTGCTTCTTGTTCGGCGAGGAAAAGAGAAAGGAAAAGAGAGAGGAGGAACCGATTGTTTTAATTTTCACGTTCCCCTGTTATTGCTTCGCGTTTCTTCCATTCACCACTTACTCGTTTTGTTATTCTTTTTGCTCGTGCACACTGTTGGCGCGTACAGAACAACCGTTTGGTCGTTTCGCGATATATATCTGCGTTGTTTGCTCGTTGATACAATTACTCGGCACGAACGAACCGACGACCGGAAAAAATCGTTTCGCGCTACCTGCTATAACCAGCGAAACGGCGTCTGACTGCAGCCGATAGAGCACGCTCGAATTGTATCATCCACGGCGTTACTAGATAGGGACCATGCTCAGTACAAACACGGATTAACCTTTCGAAAATTTTCAAACTGATTCCAAAAATTTTATGTTGATAAATTTACAAATTTCTAAATTCTCAACCTTCAAAAATTTCTTCTCTAAAGATCTCTAAAATGACTTCAAAAATTTCTGTAACATGGCAGAATCGTGTAATACATGTGTCCCCGATACATCGTCTGCTCCCGTTCCCTTGTCGCATTATTGTCGGTACGCCGGAATGTGAGAGCGTAAAAATCTCGTCGATAAAAAGCAAACGTCGTGTCGAGCGTATCGAAGTACCATAAAAAAGCTACTAGCGAATAACGCGATACGGGGTTCGTTTAACGATAAGAACTTGGAGAGAGAACGTAAAAGGACGATTTTCTCTGTACAGGGTTGGTAGCGTTAACATCGACGATAAGACGGGCTCCGATTTACCCGTGCACGACTAGTTTCCTTTCCAACGAGACAGATAATTAAATGGACGAATGCTCTTTATCGTTGGCTTCCCGGTTATAATTGCCATTTGTAAGAGTTTTTAATGAGTCTCTCGATGGCCAATCGACGAGAGGCTGCAAGAGGGGACGACACAGAGGTCCGAAGTCTGAGAAGCAGCTTATTACGCTAAATGGTTTCCTTCCGATATCGACGCGAATTAATCGAGAGAGATATCCGGAAATCATGCCGTTCCTTTCGTCGCGTTGTCCGCTTTCTCGCTTTCTAAAAAAGATCAGACGCGATACGGTTTAGCTGCAGGTGCCCGGGAAACGTATAATCCGAGGGTAGCTAAGTGAAAGAGGCGAACGACTTGCAACTGGAAGCCGAACCCCTGGTTCTTCGTCCCTGGTGAAATAATCCCCTGGACTGGCGCAACAATGGCCAGAAACGAACCCCCGAGCGTGAACCGTAATACCCGAGTCCTCGGGGTGCCGTAAATTGGTCCACCGGGAGAGCAAAGGAGGACCGTCGAGTGCTTTCGTCGTAGACCCTCGCGGTTACTTTACCACCCCGTCTTCCGTTTCAACTTGGAACATCCTACTCGAGAAATCCCACGGCGAGAGTCCGTTTCTTCTTTATCCGCTGCTTTTCAATTATTCCTCGAACCGTGTGTTTGTTCGCCCCCTAGGTACATTGGGTATCTCTTATAGCCACAGGCAATTGCGACTCTGCAAGGGATGTTCGCAGGTGTTTACAAAATCTGCAAATTTCTAAATTTGCAAAATCAAATATTCACAGATATAATAAATTAAAAATATAAAAGTTTCAAAACTCGGTTTTGTATCTCTACTCCCACCCCAATTTTTGCTGCCCTCGTTCACCCCAGCGCGAGTCAAGTGCCGATGAGTTTTTCACCGGACACTTAATCTCCCCTCCACCATTCTCCCCCTCGTTTTTATCCGGGTAATCAGTTTTATAATCCGTGATTTTACGAAGCAGCTGTTTTCATCGGCTTTTTACCGTTGCTCGATAATTCGTAGAACACGCGATTGAAAATGATCGGCTTTTCGAATCAACGGTACATAATAGATCGTGAAGAGTACGTAGTTTCGATCGGTTCGAGATGCTCGATGTTAAAATGCGCATACCGTTCGAGAGATATCGG